CCAGTCTTGTAACAATGAGTTGACATAAATAGACTAATCTTTATTGAAATGACCTTTGACTGCAGCCTGAACCCAAGACGGGGCTGAAAGACAAACAGATTTTATCAGATGTGCCGTATGTTGTGGCTAAAAGAGAAATCGTACAATTCTCCATTCAGTAAATCATGCCCATCCCTACCTGTTTGTTTTTAAAATTAGCCTGCTTTGTTTTTAAAAAATGATATTCTGTATTACGTATTGGGTGAAAAAGGAGCAGATTAATGCTGTTTTTGGAGGAGAGAATAAAGTGACCTTCCTGTGGGTCACAAATAAGTGTAACCACAACCCTATAATTGTCCTGGCATCCAAGATTATTGCTTTCCTTTCAACACCAACTCAAACAAACCCTCCGCAGATGACAATCTAGCTTCCCGTTTGAGCAACGCACTTTATTCTTAACCTCACGTTGAGGAAACCCAAACAAGCTGGTCAGGAAACATTTGACATGTTATGACTGTTAGTATTAGCACTGTGGGGAACAATCAGATATACAGTACGAGCTGATAAAGCTGACATAATTAAAATAACACGAGCGATAGAAGCAGCTGGGCAAACTAAAAAGACCATCTCAAGACTGAATGGACATGTCCGGTGGAGATATTGGGCCCTATCACACACCCGGTGCAATAAGACCGCAAGACGTGTTTGGCGCAATTTGTCGCTATTTTCAGACCAGTGCAACCATTATTTTTATGTTTTGCACCACGTTGTTTAAATAGCTAATCCATTTGCGCCACTTTGTGGACTCATGGGTGAGCTGGTCTGTAAAGGAGGTGTGTTAAGGCGCATTGTTGGCTCATTGCTATTTTGAAGAACTGAAATAGACTGCGCCACTGACCAAGTAAAGTCTAAAGTCCAGCACAGAGCACGATAGTTATGCGCCTATGCAAGTTCAAAAGCTTAATACACACAGAATCTACAGCAATACACAAATATCTTATGAAAAAAAGGAATACAATGTTACAAAAATTATTATTTAATATAAAAACCACAACTTCAGGGGTCTTTTTTTTAAAAGTTTATTCATGACAATTTGCACTTGTATAACATTATTATTATTATTAGCAGTATTATTGGTTATGCATATTTATATTAGTTTTAATAAAAACAAGTGTAGATTTGTCCAATTTGTCAGGTTTTAGAGACATATGCCTCACCATATGGGGCATGAGAATAGGACGTGTGTTTGGATATAACTCAGCTCACCACACTTAACTTTATTATTTTTTGTTTATTTGTTTGCTGGAAATTAGATCTGAATTTAGAAATAGTTGAAACAAATCTTTGCGCTTAACGAACAAAATTAAATATGTAGGCGAATGGATGTCTTCAGTGGAGTGCCATGTACATACTGTTGCAAATCCACCATGGTGTGATGCAACTGACTTTTAAAGGGAATGGGGGAGGGTCCTTTTCACACCACACTGATAGCTTTTGTCCGAACCATAGACTGTAAAATATATGGACGCAGTATCTGTGACGTCACCCATAGGTTTCCTATGAGGCGGAGAGTGAGCGGAGCTACAGACACCTGCTGGCATTTAGCTTGGACCTGGTTCAGACACACTTTACTTTGGGAGAACGCTTAATACTTTATCACCTGCGACTCGTTTGTATTCCGACCACTTGTGCTTGGTTGTATACTATATCAATAAAGTGTTTAGACTTTTAAAAACACTGCTGTAATACATTGAGCCACTAAACATTGTTCTTATGACGTTTTTCAACAGGAGGAAAACGCGAATTACTTCCAAACACTTCAGATATAGTCTGTGTTAGTTAATGTAAGACTATTGATGAAATAGTTGGCCATTCTAACAGTGGGCTCAATTAAAATTTGCTCTGTTTTGGAGCCAGGAGTGGCCAGGACTAGCGGAATTTCGAATGAATTGCAGTTTTAATTACTTCCGTATTGGTTTCCTGAGGGAGAGCGGAAGGTTGCCGCTTGGTCCGAACCAGTTGAAAAAAACCAAAATGTAGTCATGTGACAAAATCCACATCACTCATTGGCCAGATGTTATTGAACGTATTTCCTAAACTGCTTTCGATTGGTCAGAATTAACAGTTGGGAAAATGCCAATGGAACTCCCACGAGTAAATAAACATGCAAACACAAAATGACACTTTTTTTACCATGGAGGGATGACTGCGCTGGCTGACAGTATCCCTGGTCATAGTATACTATATAGTTTGTACACATCACTTTAGACAAACTATACATTTCGAGAATGAAGCACGGCTGCAGCTGGAGGCGTATTGCAAGTCACTTCAGGAGGAGGCGTGAATTAATTTAGCTAATGTTTTTAGTACCTCTATCTCCGTTTAAAATTGTTGGTAAAGTGCTGTCAACAAATACTTTTCCTCCACACCCCGTAAGATGGCACAGCGCATAAGACTATGGCAGTTGTTTTAGTTCAGATCATGTTCTTAATACAAATCACCCGCTCCATGGTTCGTTTGAAAGCGTACCGAGACCACATCATCAAGGAGGTCTCGCTACGCTTTTTTGGTCCGTTTTTGGTGCGCATACGAGTGTGATTGCTACATTCACACCTGCACAAACGAACCACACCAAGAAGGAAAACCAACTTTTGTGAGATTCAACTGCACTAAATAAGGCAGGTGTGAAAGCACCTTAAGATAATAAGCACAACCCTGTTAGACCATGCGCCTCAGCGCAAAGTGTATTTTTCCATCTTTAAATTAGCAAAAGTTGATTCGGACATGCCCTTTATGCTTTTGCACCATGCACTTTAAAATTTGTGCCTAGATCGTTAAAATAGAGCCAATTGCATTTAAATCAGTGGTGTCCTGGAGGGCCGGTGTCCTGCAGATTTTAGCTCCAACTAGCCTCAACATACATGCAAGGATGTTTTTAAAAAGCCTATTAAGAGCTTTATTAGCTAGGCCAGGTGTGTCTGATTGGGGTTGGAACTAAACTTTGCCAGACACCAGCCCTCCAGGACCGAGATTGGACACCCCTGATTTATATGTATAGAAATGTAAAAAAGAAAATTAATCATTTTCAGTGACTAAAACTGTGAAAAAATTATCTAGTTGACAATTCTGAATTTAAAAGGAATGATAATGTTTTGCCACTACATCACAATCAGAATCAGAAAGAGCTTTATTGCCAGGTAGGTTCACGCATACGAGGACTTTGTTTTTGCGACAGGGCTTCTAAAGTGCAACAGAAATTCAGAAAAAGGGCTAAAAACAAATAATAAATACATTTTAAAAATAGAAGTAAATAATAAATGCAATTGCAAATATACAAATTGATGAGTGTATGTAGGTATATTACAATATACAATGTTATATGTTATGTGCAATGCAGCTGTGATTTGCAAATTGGCATGTCAAGTGTGTTGTTAAATAAATAAGTGTATATGTGTATAAAAAGTAGTGATATTTGTTTCACAATTACTATCATAAAGTGTTCATGGGATGGATTTCCTGAGGAAAGAAACTGTTTCTGTTTGGTGATCATAGATCATTAAAATTTTTATAAATATATAGACATGAGGTATTTGTGATTGTGATTTCTTTTCCATAACAGTATGTGAGATAAAAAATATCATAAAAAATATATCATCATAACAAATAACCACAGTTTATCAGAAGATTGTTTTAATTAGTTGATTCAAAAATTTTCTTTAGTAAATAGTAAAATAAAATATTAAATAAATAAATACTACTAAAAAAATTCAATAAAATGCTAATGATTATAAATTCTTTAATGCTTTAATGGATTTATATACACACATACAGTACACACCCAAATACATATCCTGTAATGGTCTGATAACAATTCTTAATACGAAATAAAACTAAATGTCAAATATTTCATAAGAATTCTCAAATTAAATACATTGTTGTTTATTTTAAGGGTAATTAAAACAGCAATAAATAAAATCTGGTAATTTTCTTAATTTTTTCCATAGTGATTGAGGTAAAGTTGGTTTTATATTCACACATGTGTTTTTTTTTTACAATTTTTGAACAGTGACGCTCTCAATATTGTTTAACCCTTGCTGTTTTGAATATTCAGTCTGAAATCTCATGCAAGTATAACTTCAAAACAACATTATCACTATTTAATTACTGTAAACAACATTGTACTTTGATAGTGATAGCTAATATGATTTTCATATTTAGAATTTGAAATGTTTTTCGGAAATTATATTATTAAAGAAAAGCCAGAATGTGCAGAATATAAAATGAACTGTACCCCAATCCCATAGTGCTTACTCTCTCCTTCCATATATATTTTACATATAAGCATATTAGATATAAATGTGTACACTATTGTTTTCAAATATCTGTAGTGAAAACAAAATACAAATAAAAAATAAATATAAATAAACAATCTGCAAAAGGATTTAGCATAACAAAAACATAAAAATTGACAATTTAACACATTTTTAATGTAACAAACAGTAATGTACATAATGTATAATGTATTAAAACAGCTAAAATGTTTACTTTTTCCTCTGACACTTTAAAACACTTTAACATGACATATGTATGATCTATATCTGTCTATTAATTTCTCTTTCACTATTTCTTTATAGTCGTATTCATTTCTATAATCAATACATTTAATACTATTATTCATGACAGTTTTACAATGACAAAATCTTTAGTTTAGTGTCGTTGGGGTTGAAGGAATAACCAATTTCTACCATGTTCTAGTTCAGAAAGCTGTCGGTTTCAAATTCGACAGCAGGATAAATATACTCTTTGAATGTCACGTGTTATTAAATTCTAATAAATTGAATATTATGATTTGTACAGTAATCTTACCTGAATAATGTTCATTACAAGCGTGGTGTTTGTATTCCTCGATCATGTGTTTACTACGCAGCCGCTGTCAACCTTGAACTCAGTTGCATCATCGTTGCTAAACAAGTCTCTTTCTGATTGGCTGAGATTACAACAGTTCGGCCGCTGATTGGCTGTAGTGTCATCGACGCTGCTGTCAACACCAGAAAAACATGGCGGCTCCCGTTAGAGGCATGGCTGTATCCAGCAGCATAGGAAACACAACTAGTTTTCAGAAGAAAACCCGCAGCAAGCTAGTTTTTATTCCTGGTACCAGACCATCGGTGCAGAATGGACAGCTTTTAGTGTCGTCTGGCGTCAGCTCGCTTGACTATGTGATTGGTTAGTATTATTCGATGGGTTGAAGCTCAGTCAAGTTTTAATGCATTGTGTTATTGAGGTAAAGTTGGGTTTATGTTCGCACACTAAGACTTTATCCTTAATATAATTTCAGAAAAGTGTTCTTTGCTAGTTTTAAACAGGTTAATTATATTAACATTAGCAGTCAATTGTGTTAATATCATACTTGCTTGCTTTTTCAGACCCAGTTTGGTAAACAATGTAACACCGTCTCATAAGTTGTCACTGTTAAAAAAATAATAAATATGCGAATTTAAAACCAACTTTACCTCAATCGTTACGTTCATATTTTTCAAATGCCACTCTATGCCTAAATGTTTTTTTTTTTTTTCGAGAACATTCCCTAGTACTAAACTTCCAACTCTCATACTTGTCATTTATGAAAGCATAGGCTATTAACGTCACTGAGAAATATACTTATTAGTTCACAAAGAACGTTTTTGGTTCCTCAAGATGTAATCTTTGCATTTATATGACGCTAAGTTGTACTAAATGAAATATGTTTGTGTTTTATATTCCTTGTGATGTTCATCTGATAATGATTACCTTGCTTGGTGATGGATAAGTAATGGTTGTGTTTAGTAATTAATTGAGGTAAAGTTGGTTTTATATTCACACATTCTGACTTTATCCTTAATATAATTTCAGAAAAGTATTATTTGAGAATTATGATTAGGGAAATATATAAACAGTCAATGACTATTCAAGTATAACATTGTTCACAGTCAATTAAGTTATTTTGAAGTCATACTTTCGATTTTCAGAGCCAATATTCAAAGTAGTGTGGTAAACAATATTAATACCGTGTCACGAGTTGTCACTGTTAAAAATGAACACGTGTGAACATAAAACCAACTTTCTCTCAACCATTACGTCATATATTTCACTTTATGCCTTCATATTTTCATAAATTGAGAACATTCCCTAGTATTACACTTTCCACCGACACCCTTGTCATTTATAAAAGCATAATATTTCATTAGGATGTAATCTTTGCATTTATATGACGCTTAGTTGTACTATATAAAATATGTTTGTGTTTTATATTCCTTGTGATATTTGTTTGATAATGATCACTCAACTTTGGCATGTTGACATAGTAAAAGTGACAGAGAAATAATGGTTATGTTTAGTAATTTAGGTAAAGTTGGTTTTATCATTTATATCACACAATCTGACTTTCTCCTTAATAATGTAATTTCAGAAAAAGTATTCTTTGCAAATGTTAAATAGTAAAATCATATTAGCAATCAATGACTATCAAAGTGCAACATTGCTTAGTCAATTCAATTGTTTTGAAGTCATACTTACTATTTCAGAGGAAATATTCATTGTAGTGTGGTAAACAATATAAATACCATCTCACAAGTTGTCACTGTTACACAAAGAACCAATGTGCAAATATAAAACCAACTTTAACTTAATCATTACGCTCATATATTTCACTCCATGCCTTAATATGTTTATAAATCGAGAACGTTCCCTTGTATTACACTTTCCACTGCCGCACTTGTCATTTATGAAAGCATATTATATATTAATGTCACTGAGACATGTACTTATTAGTTCATGAATGTTTTTAATACATCAAGGTGTAGTTTTTAGATTTAATAGTTTTACTATTTTTTTTAAATTTGAAATATGTTTGTATTTTACGTTTTGTATATTGATCTAATAATAATGACCTTACTTTTGCATGCTTATATTACATTTACAGTGAAAATGGATAGTTTATTAATAATGGTAATTGTAAATAAGACACACCGACACATTTATATGCAGGCATGTACTTTATATGGGTATGCATTTTCTTTGTAATTGTAATACGACACTCAAGATAAATAACACCACTAATATCTTTATTTCAGGATGTTGTTGTGTATTTAAGTGTATGTATTTTCTAGTGTACTGACTTACTGCAATAATTATTTGCCTGCTTCTAATGTGCGTGTATGTGTTTGTGTGCTTCGATGGGTTAAATGCAGATAAACAAATTCAAGAATGAGATACTGTACCATACTTTGCGATCATGTCACTTATTATTTACTTTTAATTCAGGTACCTTTTTATATTTTTGTACTTTTTAAAATCTAGGTCTGCTTTAGCCTTTCTGGTTTTCAGTTCAAGTTATTGGGATGAAACATCTTTACTGTATGTTCTGCTTCTGTCATAAAGATTTATGTATTTATTTTTATAGGTGGCGGTTTGGCAGTTGGAACGCTGCTGCTTGTAGGTAAGGAATGACTTTATGTGCTCTTATTATGTCATGAGTTTTTTTTTTTTTTTTTTTGCTATTATTTTCATAAGCATTATTAAAAATGTTTGCATTAATATCATAGTACACTATAAAGAACGATGGATTGAATTAAGCAGTAGTTGTGTTTTTGAGTTTTTTTGATTTTGTGAAGAATGATTTTTTTTTATTATATTTTTTGGAGATTAAGAAGGTTTGCACTTTCACTGTGGACTAATGTTTGACCACCATTCTTTTTTGATCTGTTTGAACATGCCATTCTTTTGCTGGTTGTTAGGGCTTGATATTTTCAAAACATATATTCACGAGGATCTTATATCGCTACGCCCTAATTTCTATTCTTTGCATTCTTTTGTTCTTTTTTCACATCATTGGAAGTAGCTTGGTCATGGCCTTTTATGATCTATCGAGTCCTGTCAAGGCCACTAATGCCCAAGACACTTGACGCACATGAAATATACAATTGGTTGGAAAAGAGATGTAGATGTTTATGCTTTAAAAAGGAGATTATCTTTCTATTTTCTTTTTTACTTGTTTATTATTGAGTAAAGTGTCATTTCTGCGTAATGAAGTTTGCCCTGCGCGCTTGTGGTTATAAAAACTTTTTTGGTGTGTTAATTATGTCAATAATATTATTAATTAGGTCGTAATTCGTTCATTCATTCATTCATTCATTCATTTTCTTGTCGGCTTAGTCCCTTTATTAATCCGCAGTCGCCACAGCGGAATGAACCGCCAATTCATCCAGCAAGTTTTTATGCAGCAGATGCCCTTCCAGCCACAACCCATCTCAGGGAAACATCCACACACAAATTCACACACACTCATACCCTACGGACAATTTAGCCTACCCAATTCACCTGTACCGCATGCCTTTGGACTGTGGGGGAAACCGGAGCACCCGAAGGAAACCCACGCGAACGCAGGGAGAACATGCAAACTCCACACAGAAACGCCAACTGAGCCGAGGCTCGAACCAGCGACCTTCTTGCTGTGAGGCGACAGCACTACCTACTGCGCAAGTCGTGATTTATTATTCATTCATTAAATAATCCTCTCACTCCACCCTTTTGTCCCACAGTCAATCACATTGCGTAGTGTGACGGTCACTCGATAATTAAAAACAATCTCATTTTACCAAAAAAAATACCAAAAAATACCAAAATTAACCACTCAAATATTTACCTTCACCTTCAGAAACACTATTTTACAGGAAAAAAGCATATCAATTATTATCATTCACTGATTCATGTCTACATCAATGCAATGAAATTCTGACAGTCCAAAAAAAATAATAATTTCATCTCATTATTTGTATTATTACATCTTTAAAATCTATGATTCACAAAATTATAGCTAAACAACCAACCGTTAAAGCAGGGGTCACAAATCTCAGTTCTGGAGGGTATGTTGAGGCAAGTTGTTTCAAGTATACCTAGTAAGGCCTTGATTAGCTTGATTAGGTGTGTTTGATTAGGGTTGGAGCTAAAATCTGCTAGACACCGGCCTTCCAGGAACAAGTTTGGTGACCCCTGCTTTAAAGAAACACAGAAAGGTCAAATTCCTCATTCATTCCTCTTAGTGCAAGTTATTTTAATTTATGAATCCAGAAGGCTTCTTTTTGTAATAATCTTTTATAAAGATTACCTCCTCTTTGTGACTCAAATACTTTGTTCGATTCCTATACATTCTAGTTATGTCCAAAATATATCAAATGTCTTGCTACTACCGAAGTTAATATCTTGTCGTCGTATACTTGATTTATGTTCACTAATTCGCAACTTTGACTGACGTGATGACTTCCCTATGTCTATCTTTTGGCACAGACATTTTAACATGGAGACCACGTTACGAGTTAAGCAGGTATACAGGTTTTTATTTTTATAATTTTACCTGTTGATAGATTTAAAAAATTCTTTACACTTTACCAAAACTGAAAACAACCTTGTATGAAAGTGGATTTCCTATTTCTTACTACAAATCATCATATCTGCTCAATTGTGGGATCTTTTAAAGGTAAATAATGGATGATGTTGAAATGTGGTATTTAAAGATTTGTCAGAAGATAAAATATGCCAATGTTATAAATATGCCAGGAAAAAGCTGCTCTCCAAAGGGTTGTCAACACAGCGCACAAAATCATCAGCTGCACTCTTCCCTCCTTAGAGGAGTTGTTTAAGGCCTGCTGCTACAGCAAAGCATGCAGCATCCTGAAGGACTCGTCCCATCCAGCATACCACCTATTTCAAATGTTACCTTCGGGGAGACAATATAGAACCATAAAAGCCAAAACAAACAGACTTAAAAATAGTACATTTCCAAGGGCTGTTGCAATAATGAATGGACATTAAATTGAGGGTGTTTCTGGCCAAAATTATTTTAATCTTACTTTTTAACTTGCTGCTAGGAAATGCACTTGCCACTTTATACACTTGGACATTAAATTGTATGCCTTCCTGGCTCACATTTATTCACTTTTTAATTTAAAAAGCTGCTAGAAAATGCACTTGCTACTTTATATGCACATCATACGCACTTTTAATATTGTATTGCAACTCTTCATTTAATTTGATCTTTTTTTATCTCTTTTTAATTATTGTTGTTGTTTTAGATAAATAGGACTGCACTGAAGGGAAGGGCAAACGTAAGTTTCGTTGTAAATTGTACAATGACAATAAAGATTCTGATTCTGATAGTTGATTTAATAAAATTGCTATGTTCATTATATGTTAATGAGCAATTTATTTAAAAAAAAAAAAGTTTAGTTTCTTAGCAGGTTTTACTGTTTTTAAAATATCTTATCGATGTAATTTATTTGCCTTACCTAATGCTTCATCCAAAACGTTGCGGATATCCTCTCGAATGAAATCTTTGAAATAATGTGTTTTTCAAGCGCTTCTACAGTACTACAATTACATTTCAGTCATGTCACTGACTGACTGGCAAACTGTGTTTAATGTGGACTGGATGGTAACTGTCCATAGATAATACTGTGTTTTTGTCTGAAGAGATAAAACAAACAAAAAGAAGCATTCTGGATTCATGAATTAAAATCACTTACACCAAGAGGAATGAATGAGGAATTGGACCTTTCTGCGCTTCTTTAATGGTGTGTTGTTTAGCTATAATATTGTGAATCATGGATTTTGAAGATGTAATGAAACGAATAATGAGATGAGACTGTATTTTTAATGTTTTGGAATGTCGGAATTTCATTGCATTGATGTAAACATGAATCAGTGAATGATGATAATTGATATGCTATTTTTCTGTGTAAATATTTTAAATGTAAATATTTCTTGTGTGGTTACTTATGGTGTTTTGAAATAAAAAAATGATTGTTTTTAGTTATTGAGTGGCCATCTAATAACGTAATGTGATTGACTGTGGGATAAAAGGGTGGAGTGAGAGGATTGTGTCATACAGAGCAAAGCATTGTGCCGAAACGTCTGTTTTGTATCACCTGAAGAATATAAAATAAAAACTATACAAATAAATTATTCAATGAGTGTGAATCATGACCTTCTGCATGAAAAGTTGACCCAAACATAATGCTAAAATTATGACATTTACTATGCTATTGGTTGAATATATAATGAGTCATGCCACAAATATATATATGTGTGTTTGTATATATATATATATATATATATATATATATATATATATATATATATATATATATATATACACACACACACACACATATACATGCATACACATACATACAGTTAAGGTCAGAATTAATAGCCCCCCTGAAATATCAGCTCCCCTGTTTTTTTTTTCCCTCCCCAATTTATATTTAACAAGGATGATTTTTTTTTCAGCTCATTTCTAAACATATTAGTTTTAATAACTAATTTCTATTAACTGATTTATTTTTATCTTTGCCATGATGACAGTATATAATATTTGACTAGATATTTTTCAAGACACTTCTATACAGCTTAAAGTCACATTTAAAGGCTTAACTACGTCAATTAGGTAACCCTACTCCGTGTTTGTGCTGCAAAACTCCCCTTATTATAAAACCCATTTTGCTTTATATATATATATATATAAATTTTATATTAGTCCATTATATTTATATAAAAGCTGTATGTTTATGTTTTTATATAACAAAATGTGACTTAACTATGCAATTTTGACACAGTCTAACAAAAAATGTGCTAATTAAAATAAATAAGCAAATGACAGAAGTGTCTCCAGAGGTTGCACATTTAGCCTAATTCCGATTAGCATTGCCGGTGCGGTTGTTGAATCACTGGGACTCAGACGGCAAACATATGGAAGCAGGAGGGCAGAAATGTTGACCCAAATTTCCCCCTGCAGCTTTGAGTGACTGACTCACACTCGGTGGACAAACAGACGCCTACTGTCCTCCACACGCACACACACACACACACACTGAAGTACCACTGGCATTAGTTTTTCACCCAAACAGACAAGCTCTCTCTGCTTCAGAAAAGATAGGAAGTCTTGGCTGACTGATATGTGTCTTGTTGCTTCTACAAAACAGATATCCATCCCCAATACAACTCGTCCCGCCCCAAAAAAACGCCCCTGCTAGGCTAATAGCACCCGCAGGTTTCATTTGTAAGGCGCCATTGATGCAACATCACAATAGGCCCCATCTCGAGAGGGCCCATCTGGGTGTCTTTGTCGGGGCCGCTGAAAGCCACAAAGGCCTGCTGACCTAGAAACACATCAATAAGGGAGAGGGGAGACAAATTGAAGAGCGGAGGAATGTTTTCTTTTTTTTTTCCTGTCGATGGATGATGGAATATGAGAGGAATCCAGGTTTGTGGGCAGATTTGGAGGTGGTCAGGAAGTGTTTCAATCTGTCCTGCTGTCTGAGGAATCCTTTAGAGGTCATACTGAGGCTTTAGACGTGTGGGTTTGAGGGTCTGTCAGTGTGTCTGAGTGGGTCAGAGCTGGATATCTCAGTGTATCTGAGTAGGTCAGAGCTGGATTGTTAC